ACTGGGTGCACCGTGATGTCTGAGATGGACAAGAAGCAACAACAACCCTCGTATCAAGAGATGGCCGATACGTCAGAGTCTGAAGGCGCTGGCTGGCGAGAGTCCAAAGCGTTGAGAATTCAGACGATAATTCAAGCCCAGCGGCCAATCCATATAAAACAACCTGGCTGAAAACAAACAAAACATTGCCAACCCTGAGAAAATAATTGCCAGGCCGACAAAAAACATGGTCGATCAACAATGGCCAAGCCAAGCCAAACTGCCAAGGTTAATATCACTGCCATCCCAAAACAATGGCCAAGCCGAACACAAATACCAGGCCGAGTAAAACGGTCAGGTTTCACATAGCGGCCACTGCCAGCCCAGACAAAACCGTCAGGCAGGGCACACCGTCAGGAACCAGACCGAACGCAACGGCCAAGCCAAATCAAGTGACTCGGCCAAGTGAAACTGCCAACCATGGGCAGGCTGCCAGGCTGACTCGCACGGCCATGCCGGTTACCGCGTCCAAGCCAAAGGGAACGGCCTGGCCGAAGAAGAGGGCTAGGCCGAATGCAACATAACACAACCAGGCGAAACGGGCCAACATTCAGAAACCGACCAGACTTAGGAACAAACGGCGAGACTGAACAACGCGGACAGCGCAAGAACACCCGCACCATAGAGTTTTCGTTGCATTGTTCGACCGACACCGCTTGCACCACTTATATTGCACTCCGTAGCTCAATCAGTATATATTGCCCAAATCATGTTGCATAATTTGTGCCACATAGTTTGCACCGCATAACTGGCATCATGTAGCATTCGCCACATGGTTTCCGCGACATAGCTTACACAGCCTAGTTCGCGCCAAGTAGCTTGCACCACGCAAGTTGCACCACATGGTCGACGCCGCATAGATTGCACCGCCGCCCCAGCGGCGGTGCGCAAGGAACACGCACCCCCCTGGCCTTGGATGCCCATGCAGAGCCCCCGAAACGCCCGCGGGCAGGAGGGAGGCATAACGGACTGTTAGGGGTCCGCGTTGGCAAACTGTCAACCTTAATGAAATAAAACCCTTGTGGGAATATCAGCAAGACGGTTTGGGACACCATGCAAATCCTTGAAGAGCTCGGTTGAACAAGCGTCGGCGCACTTGAACGCCTCTCGGAAGGACGCCTCCGATGCATACCCAAAAATGCGGCAATCGATCTCGAATTCTGGGCATCATTCGTTCGGTACCGTTGTCTGTCGTAAAGGATACAATGCGGTCGCACACCCGACGTAAATCTTGAAACGAAGGCCCTGCTATGAGAAATAATGCCCACAAGAATGCGTATACTTTGCCACACGCTTTCATCATTGTCTTAGGAAGCGTCACACAAGGCAAAAGCATGCGCTTCCTCCACGTACCAGAAACGACGTCAATCGACACTGCGAAAAGTTCCGTGCCACGGTACTGAGGCGAACCGTCCGCGAACACAAATAAGTAGGTTTTTGACCAATCGAATGTGGACAGCAACTTCCTATATACAATACAGGCTGTCATGTCCAAGCGAACCCTGGCACGACGTACGACTTCAACATTAATGTGAAAACCGTGCAACAACTCTGCGCTGGCCTCTTCGCTACCCGTGAGCAGCTTCGCCCACGCCGCCGCAGGCCCATCCATGTTTTGCATTGTGTCCCTCAAATACGAAGTCGCGTCAAGTTGGTCAATCACTTTTGTTACTGGTAACCGCCCTATCCGCATTTTTCTTTTTTTGGCTTGAACCCCCACGCCGCCGTCCCTGACATTTGGCACTGGGGCTGCACTACCGACCCAACGTCTGACCAGCTTTGTGCTCGGAGCACAACACCGCGGAAGTAGTCGTCGGTTGCACCTCCGAGTAACGGCAATGGCGAAAACATGTTTCCATGATCCTGAAACCACAGCCAACGCCAAGGTTGGAATCAATGTAAAGTGTGCCAGCTTTGAAATACGAGTAGCATCGATCCATGCCTGAAGGGTTTGTCCATCCTGTAACAATTCCCCCGTGCACGCATCCAGTATTGATGAAGGTGAAGAGCGGGCACCTGGATCAAGAAGGCGCGGATCCTGCAGGGAGGCGCACGCGGTTGCTTCGTACAGCACGTGCCCAAAAATCTGCGTGCCACTCCGCAGCAAAGCCGTCGCCGACGAGGAGATCCACGCAGCACTTGCGACAGCAGTAACCTCGGCAGCGTCTCGCAAATACCACGAACCTTGCACTGCGCCAACCAAGCGAACTTCGCCATCAGCGAAACCTGCTGCACGATCGGTCGGGCTTGGACCTCCCTGCAATGCGCTACTTCTGGACAGCGCTGGCCAACCGCAATTGGCAGCCAGAATCAAAAATACACATGCAGGCCCTCGCGCGCACGCCGCTGCTGGACGACGAGCTCGAGGAGAGGCTGGCGCAGAATCGGGATCACCGTCCACGCCGCTGACGGATCCAGAAGCGACGTCCCCGAGAATCTCATCATCCTCCATAGGGTGGGAAGCTACATTAAAGAATAAACTTCGTGATGTAACCTTCGAGCCCAAATGGCCACGTTGGTAGCGGAGCAAAACGATGCAGAATTGCAACTCTATGGTGTGAAAAGTTGTGTCCAACAACTCAACGACAGAAGGCGGAATGGGATATAGCTCCGAACGGAAGCGGCAAACGGGGGCACTGCATTTGAGTTCTCGTTTGTCCCCTCCCCCAATCGACACGATCGAGAGCACTGCTATCGACGGAAACGAATCGGCATCAACTGACCTAGTTCTTGCCCTAGGAACCATCGACCACCCCTATATCATGCGTCGTCGTCGTGTTCCTTCTGCTGCTGCGCCTCCTCCTCCTCCCTATGATATTCCACATAAATTCCAAATTTCCCGCGGCCATTTTGGCTCAATCCAAAAAGTTAACCCCGACAACCATTCCCGCGGCCATTTTGGCTCAATCCATTTTGGTTCAATTCAATTCAAAAAGTTGCCCGCGGTCATTTTGGCTCAATCCATTTTGGTTCAATCGCTGGATCGCGCGGGGCAACGCTATCCGCGACGCGCGCGAACGACCCTCATATATTTGGCAAGCGGGCGCACCTATAAAATAATTGGCATGAGTCCGAGTGCGCCCCAGAAGCACGTTTTTGCACTCGGCGCCGTGGAAGTGTTTAAGGCCTGCTGGTCACGGCAGGGAGGAGTTGAGGGGTGTTTCCAGCCCAGGAGGGCTGTTTATACGCAGTCCAATGGCAATCCACCGATCGGAGCGGGGGACTGGCTCCCGGGGAAGGGAACATCGACCCCGAATCGTCGGCGGCACATCGCTGATAGATCGGCGGTGTGTCGATGTAATATGTAATTCTCCCCCAGCCTGTCCCCTCCCGAACGTTGCCCCTGAAAGAGTGGCCCTGGGCAACGAGTGCCCTCAAGTACGCGGCTTGCCGATAGCTGCGCGCAATGCCATAGCAATGGCCTGTGTGTTTGGGCTTGCCCCCCCCCCCCCCTGCAGAACTCCGCCCGCCCCAGGTCCGCCGGCCGACAGCAAAGTGGCCTGGTTGCGAAGATCCACTCGCTTCTTGGCAGCAGCGCGCGTTGTCTTGTGAATACGCGCAACGACCACTTTCTGTCGCGTCTCCTCGCGGATCGCTGCGGCCATCGTGGCCCCCGGAGACGGCTCGGCGCCCTGGCGCGCCAGCTCGGCGCGCGCTTCCTCGAGTTTCGCGCGGGTCTGCGGGGGCACTCTGGCGAAAGGGCGCCCGGCTGTCGGGTCGTACCCCCGGCCTCCGACGGCCGCCCTGGCGGATGGCCTGGGCACCCCATGGGAGCGTTCTCGGCGCGGCGCCTCTGCTGGAACGCGCCCCCCGAGGCAGACACGAGGCCCAAAGCGAGGCAGACGTCCGGAAACGCGTCGCCGCCCCGAGGCTTAGGTCGGGCATGCCCCCCTACAGGGGGATCTTGGGCGACAGATCAAAAAATAAGCAAAAAGTGCCCACCAAATGGGCAAAAACTTGCCGTCGCTCGGACGTCCATTTCCCGTGCATTGTCTGGTTTCGTGCGTGTTTTTTTTGGCTCGATGGTCCAAGATGGTCCTCAAGGGTCCTCGCCGAGGAAAAAATACACACGTCCGAGCGATGCCAGGAAAATAGTCAAAACATCGTCCCCCTACTATTTTTCCATACAACTTTTGAAGATTCCTCCTGTGTAGAGGGACGGGCCCGACTTAACCCGAGGTAGAAGCAGCAAGACGTTACTCCGCGAGGAGGCAACGCCCGAGCACGTGCCGCCGCGCGTGGCCGAGGCGGGGCCGGCGGAGCGCCCGCTTGGCTCGGAGCAGGGCGTCGAGACGAGGGCAGCTCCAAATCGATCCCCTCTACAGGGGAGGAGGAGGAGGGGGAGGAGGGGGAGGGGGAGGAGGAGGAGGAGATCAAAAATAGGCCCTCTACAGGGGGAATCTTAAAGAATAGTCAAACAAATGTCAGGGGACGGTTTAAGGGCTTCTTTTTGATTCATGCTTGAACATGTTTCGACTATTTGTCCTGATTCTTCCAAAATCCGCCTGTAGCAAGACATGCCCGATCTAATCCCGGGGTCCAAATGCACCAGTGTTCCGCGCAGCGTTCAGCCGTGGCGGCGAAGGGGCCGAAGGCCAACGACTTACCCTTGCCTCACCTCGCCCTCCCCTGAGATCCGACGTTGCAAAACGTGCAACATCGCAACCAAAAAACGCCTGGAGCCTCGGACCCCACCTTCCTGTGCCATTCTTCGAGCCGGATCGATCTGCGAGGGTCCTGGGGCCCGAAAGAAGGCGACACCGCCCGGCTCGAAAAAATTGAGACGCCAGGATCTCAGGGAGGTTCTTCTCCTCCTCCTCCTCCTCCTCCTCCTCCTCCTCCTCCTCCACCCCCCCTTCTCCCTCGCCGCCACCCCCTATTCCTCATCCTCGCTGTGCGAGCCGAGGGGTCCTCTGAACAAGGCCCAGGCGGGGCCCGCGGAGCCGCCCGGCCGGGCGCGCCTCTCCAGGAACGCCTCCACCTCGGCGCCCCTCGCGTGCGCCGGCAGCCCGTCCACGCGCAGGTCCAGCATCCTGCCCCGCGGGGCGCGCCCGCTGCGCGCCCGCCGTGGCCGCCTCTGCACTGGCCCAGGGCGCAGAGGTAGGCAGCAGGCAGGCGCACCAGAGGCGGATGAGGAGGGATCGGAGCCGAACCACGAAGCGCGACTAACTTCGCGCCCTCGAGGGCGCCCTTCAACAAGGCCCCAAAAGCGTCGGTCCGCGTCGCACCGTCGGAATGCCGGAGTCGAAGCGAAACCGATCGGATCGAAACCGATCGGTCGGCGGCGAGCCGGGGAGGGAAGTGAGAAGGGGCGGGCCTTCTCAGAAGGCTCGCAAGTCCCCAAAGCCCCCTGGGGAGTTTCCTGAGCCCTCCTCGAAGACACAGCAAAACTTCTCCGAGAGAGGGCTTCCGAGAAGTCCGGCGCCGCCCTCGGAGGTGGTCCCTTCTCCTTCTCCCGACGTGCGTCGACGACAAGAAGGCCCACAGGCCCGCCCGCCCGCCTCTGCGCGCCCCTCGTGGCCAGGAGGAGGAGGAGGAGGAGGAGGAGGAGGAGGAGGAGGAGGAGGAGGAGGAGGAGGAAGAGGGAGGAGGAGGGGAGGAGGAGGAGGAGGAGGAGGAGGAGGAGGAGGAGGAGAGGAGGAGAGGAGGAGGAGGAAGAGGAGGAGGAGGAGGAGGAGGAGGAGGAGGAGGGGGAGGAGGAGGGGGAGCGAAGCCGTGGCCCCTCCTGCGCGGGGGGGCCCGCCCTGCGGGCGCCGCCGCCAGCGCCGCGCCGTCGGGGCCTCCGCCGGAGGGAGGGCACGGCTCAGCGCGGCCTGCTGGCCCGCGGCCCCCCGGGCGGGGGCGCGCCGAGGCGGCGCCGACGCCACGGGTCACCGGCGTGGCCTCGGCGAGCTCGGCGACCTCGCGCAGCTGCACGTGCTCTCTTGCGCCTCGGCGAGGCGCGACGGATCCTGGCCAGCCATCGCGCTTCTGGCAGAGCACGTTCTGGAGGTATGGCTGGTCGGCAGCACTGTGAAGGATGGAAACGTGTGACATGCGGCAGCGCGAATCTTCTTTCTGACCGCCGACGACGAAGGAGAGCCAGATGCGAGTCCAGGGCGACCAGAAGCGCGCCCAGGACCACCAGAAGCGGGACCAGAGGGTGCAGAAGGTCATCCAGGAGACCACGCTGTGCACTAAGGAGTATGCCGAGAAGCACAGGATCTATCAACCGCCACCTGCTGTTCGCGACATCCCTCGCAGCAAGCAGGAGACCACCTCGGGGATGAATGTGCTGGCAGAGATCATAATCAAAGGTCAGGAAGCGAGGACTTCAACATGAGAACAGGAGAAGGAGATGGCGGTGCTGCGCTACATGCAATGGCAGTTGCAGTCCAGAGTGCAGCAGGAGAAAGAAGCGAGGGACGGCATGAACAAGGCGAAGGAGCAGATGATGACGACCATGCAGAAGATGGAGAGCCTCGCGACGGATATGATGGTCCACGAAATGACCTTACATAACTGGGAGGACCTGCTGGCGGAGGCGATGGATCCAGACTCTGGCTCCCCTGGAGCCGGTAGTGAGGATGGACATGATCGGCGTCGAGCACTGGCTGCCTCGGTGACGGGCGAACAGGTACAGGCTGGTGGACCAGATCGTGCTTCTGCAGCTGCAGCGGCTGCGAAGAGCCATCGAGCAGAAGACCCTCCACCTCCTCCACCGCCACCATCACCTCCACCACCTAAGATGGCTGCTCCTCAGATCGCCACGCCCAGGGAGCCCAAGCCTCCAGGTAGAAGACCTACTGTTGACGGCCGACATTTACGACCAGCTGAGTATACAACAGAGGGGACGGTGAGCGCTGCAGCTCCATCAACACCAGTATCAACTACGCCAGCCTCTACTCCACCTGGACTTGTACCGATTCACGTTGTACCCTCCGCTTCGGCAACTCCGCAGGTGCAGGCAAACCGCGAGACGATGATGAAGAGCAAGGAGAGCGCTAGGTTAGCCATCCAGGCAAGTGACCAACGCCTTGAAAAGCAAGCAACGGAGCTTCAACGGCACGGCCAAGCACTGGAGACACAGGCGGTGGACTACGCCACTCAGCAGCGCGCAGCTGAGGCTACTCAACATGCACGATTAGAGCTACACCAGTACCAAAAGCAAGTGTTGGATCAGACCGCATGCTCGCAGCAGATGCGCCTCCAGGAGAAGAACAAGCTACTCAACATGTACGGTTAGAGCTACACCAGTACCAACAGCAAGTGTTGGATCAGACCGCATGCTTGCAGCAGATGCGCCTCCAGGAGAAGAACAAGCTACGAGCGGAGGTTGCTGAACACCGTTCCCCATGGCAGGAAGACGCCAAGGAGTGGCAGCGTCAGGAGGCAGCAACACGACACCAGGCAGAAGTACAACAGAACAAACTGATGATTAAGGCGGCCCTACAGAAAACAGAAACAGGCTTTGGATCTCGAGTGCGAAGCCAAGTGGAAGGCAGTGCACGAAAGAAATGAACTACTCGAAGGCGACACCCATGTACATGTTCGCGATGTGGAGGAGATCTATGATGAGTTGCAAGCCCAGCAGGATGAATTGCAAGCAAGCTGTTGATGAGGAAAGCATCGACAAGGACCTGGGCGGGAAAGGGTCGTAAACCTGAGGCAACAGGCAATACCAACCACCTTAGTGGCATGCACTGGCCACTGCCTCAACCAAATTTTGATTATGGAACAGCAGACGGTACCAACCACATAAATGGTATGAACGGGTCACTGCTCCAAAAGACTATTAGAAACAAATCAGAGGCCACGTCCGCTACTTCTGCCAGTTCTGGTCCTCGACGTCGACCCGATGTGTAAGTCGACGGCCAAAGTGGTTTGAAGATCCGCAACGACCCGCACGCCAGTCCAGACATCAGCGGGTCCAATCAGTCCAGGGCGGAAAAAGAGGAGAGACTATATCAGTCTTAAAGCGGAGGAACAGCGTCGAGAAGAAGACGATCGCTACGCCGCAGCTCTATAAAGCTCCCACTGCAGAAGCAGGCCGAAGACTTTTCCCAACCCAGACTCGCATGCTGACTCCATTCCTGTCCCCTCATCTGCAGCTGAGCAGCAGGAGCTGGATGACATCGAGACGATGCAAGACCTTGAGGACCAGACGTTGCAACAGGACCTGGCAGCGCTACTTGGTGTCCAGCACGACCTCGTTACAGGAGCCCTGGTGAGGTAAGGGTCAAACTTCGAGACAGGCTCGACGGGCGGGTGGGCAGGACTAGTACTGCCCGCGCCTGCCAGGGAGGATGGTGGCGGGCAAGGGAGGGGGGGGGGGAGTAGAGAAGCCGCCAGCTGCGCCCCCGCGGTCCGCCCTAGCTCGCCACCCCCACCATCCCCACGGCGAGCGAAGGAAGAGCTTGCCCGAACGCCGAGGAGGCGAAGCACGACAGGGCGATGGCGATATCGAGGAAGATGCCAAGCCGCAGCCCACGAACCACAACCAGCACGACTCGGACACCAAAGTATGCTACACATGTGGGGCAGACGGCGAGTTCTGCCTTGACGAAAAAAATATTGTTGCGCACGATGCGACAGCCCAAAGGCAGCCAGGCGCGACGCGATGGAGGACGCAACCCCGCCAGCATCACCTCCTCCCCCACCGCCTCCTGATCGCCGCCCAGCTGAACGTGTGAGATCTTCGACTTTGACGCAGCTGCTGGCCAGCAAATGCGAGAGGATGGTGAACAATGTGCTGCTGCGCGTGCCTTTGAAGCTGGAGCTGAAGCGGAGGCTCTATGTATTGACGGAGCCGAACGAAAGGACCCCGAAGAGACAGCCGACAAAATGGAAGAGGACCACCTGCGTACCAAGCAATGGGAACTTGCTGATGCCGAGGCTTTCCGCGAAGATGTTGCAGGGGCCCAGCTGGGCAACCGAAGGGCAGATCTCACGGCGGCCCTGACGACGGTGGAGTTATGACCAGTGGATACGAAGACGGATAAATTGCGGGCAGCCCGACACCCCCAGCTCGGCCCCCACTTGTTCTTATGACGTCTGTGGAGGAGGAACCGACGAGAGCTTGACCGCGGAGCGAACCTCTCGCAAGGCGCTAAGAGTTGACGAGCCCCCCGATCGTCGGAATGCACACTGATGCCAGCCAGGCACGATCTTTTGGATCCAGAGGGGGGCGCCCTACAACAGATGGGGGGTGGCCACCCGCCTCGGTGAGCGCGCGCCCCTAGCCGACAGAGGGAATCCGGTGCCCGTGGAGGCGGGGGCCTCTTTTTCAAGGTACTCAGACCGTCCGCGCATAATTGGTATTCGGGCACATCATGCTGAGGCCACTCCCCATGCATCATATCCAGAAGTTCATTATGGCATGGGAAACCTTGAATGCAGACCCAAACGGGCTGATGCTGTTCTATTGCCTGCAGCTTCCCTTGCTGTAGCAAGGGCACCTGGACTTCAAGTTGCAGCGGCTGCCGCGCCTTTCTTGGTCGACCCTTCGCCTTCGGTGGCATGGGTGAGTCCAATTCAACAGCCGACTGCATCGACTCCAATTTCTATGTCCGCATCCCCGCGTAGATCCTCTTCGCTGCCGAACCAGGCAACGCCAGGTGCGAGTGGCGACTGGTGCCACGGGTTGCATGTACAGTTGTCACTTAACGTTCAATGTGATCGTCTTCGGTGGCACGTCCGTCTGCGACGTGACCTTGCTGGGATGGAGCTGCACGAGCGCGCCCGCTTAGCCCTCCACTTCGCGAAGCCGCACGAGGCGCCAGTGGAGCATTGCTACAGATTATCAGACTGTTGTGCTTGGGAACGTGAGCTGTCTTCGAGTGTTTGGGCTTGTTCGGTCACGTCCAGAAGATCTTCCTCGTGCAAGTTTGAGGGTTCCTTCAGCTCGTATGTTCAGAGCTGCGCGTCCCTTGACCTTCCAGATGCCGAGCTCACCAGCGTATCCACGGAAGTGGCTGGCATCATGTGGGGCGCCATCTACGCTCTTTAGCTACCGTGGGACATCCCAGTGGAAGTCATCTGAGACTGCCTCCC